ACTGGGGGGGGGGGTTAGTTCAGATATAATATGGAGGGGAAACAAGGAAGTTCACTGGAATCACGTCAAGAACACTTTTATCCAGCAACTCATTCTAGCTGGATGGGCCTAACAAGAGGCGGCCGGGAGGAGCAGGAATGCGGCTCCCCAAGCACAACGTACTTGCGTTGTTGTCATGACGGCTTGGTCTCCTTGGGGGTCCCAGGATGCTGGAGAATCCTCTTCGCTTCCCTTTTTCTTCGCCTTCCCTATCTTTCTTCATACTTTGCTAGAGTTGAGGTACAATCAAAGAGATAAGGAATACGTAACATTGTTGCTTTCAAACATAGAAATGAAATTCCAATGGTCATTTCAAAGAAATTGGTTAAATGTAAATGAAAGACACACACACAACACTCATTAGAAACTGGCACACAGTACTGTGTACCCATCCAACTGAAGATATCTGTGGGGAGGTGGAGGAGTGCACATGGGCGATAGACGGTGGTGGAAGGAGACGAGACCTGGGGTGCTGAACGTGTAACACAAGATACAGGTGATGTGTTACAGGATTGTACACTTGAAATATATAATTTTAATAACCAATGTCACCCCAATAAATTTTAAAAAAAACCTTAAGATATTTTTTCAAACGCTTTAGAGCTGATAATTTTGGAAAATATAAAGGTAGTTTTGTAACACGTTTACTGGGAGCTTGTCTAAATGATTCATTTATCCACTGAACAAATATTTACCAAGCTCATAAAATGTGAATGCACTGTGCTAAAAGCTGGGGATGCAATGATGAAGGAGCTCCTTGCCCTCATAGAGCTTGACTAATAAAAATTAAGCAAAACAAATGATCACAAGCAGTGGCGGCACCGCAAAAGAGAAGGACGCGGCCCAGGAGCGCGGCCGGCACAGGGCGTGGGCTGCTCCCGTCAGCTCCTCGTGTCTGCTGGTTAGCGCGCACGCCGCATTTCTCACTAGATTCTCGGTTTCTTGACAGCAGGAGCCACTTTTCATCTAATAAGCATGCCTACCACCAATTTGCTGAAAAGTAAATACTAAGAAGGAAAGCACTGCACCAAACCTGAGGACGCGCAGAGGCTCTTCCAGCCCTACCTTGATTTTTGGAAGGAATCCAATCCGACCCCGCTTATGCTCCAAATTTCGAGGTTCTTTCACTTTTACTCCCAAATGCTTCATGTACATGAAAATAACATACTGCATGGTTGAACTGGAGGAGAACAGATTAAGTAAAATAACACTTCTGAAAAAGGAGGGTGGGTAAAATAAAGATAGCAAATGACTTTCAAAACCTCAATGATGAAATTCTTGGAATTCATTCATTAAATAAAAAATAAGGAATTACCAGAAAAGAATTCTACTCAAGACACTAGAATATTAGTCAAATAAAATACAGGCCACCAGAAGGGGACAGTCTATGTTTTTTAAGTTAAAAGAAAGAAAATATAATTTAGGACTGATAAAAGAAAATATAGTTTATCTTTTTTCTTAAAATCCAGAAAAAAGCAGTTATATTACCTCTTATCTTCTTCTATAGCCTGAGCAGTCATCCTAAAAATAAAACATTTACAAATGAAATATTAAAGTTTAAAAAGAAGAGTTGCTATTAAATCCAGATACCTGAAACAACAGGGCGGAGCGGAATGCTCTGGGAGCCCCTCTGCATCTCTGCCACATGGAATGTAATTTCAGAAACCCTCTAATCCCCAAAGGAGCTGCCTGCTTCTCACTCTCATGTCATCAACTGTAAGTGTCTTATAGAAAGAAATATTATTTCCAGAATCTCTGAATTTAAACCAATGAAAGTATTCAACCTGTTTTTGATCAGTTAGAAATTTTGTAGTTGCTCATTTTGCTAATACCCAGAAATAGAAAATCAAGAACTTTACTTAAAATAAAATATCAAAAATATAACAAATTCCAGTTTCTCAAGTGTTATGACAAAAGAAATAGCTCCACATACCTAATCTGATACCCTTCTAAATTTGTTCAAAGTATACTTTCAGCATGATTAGCATCTAAGGAGAGAGGGCATTTTCACATATGCTTCTGTTACTTACAACACTTCTTCAATTTTGGCAACAATCTGTTCTGCACATGCCCGTTCCTTCTCCAAAGTTACCCGGTCCTTGTCTCGCTCTACATCAAGCTTAGTCAGTTCGCTTTCAGCCAAGGTCAGGCCCATGCTCCGTTTCTGCCTAAAGGGAATAGGAGGAATTTTCTGAGGCAGCCGAGAGAAAAACTCTCCCCCTCGTTAGAGTTTCCATAGCTACGGGTTTCTAGCAACAGGCAAAATGTCAGTTTTTTACTTCAGAACACCATGTCACCTAGGACAACAGAGGCAATCACTCAACAGAACACACATCCTGAAGGAGCATACTTAGCAGAGACAAAGTACTGAGCTCAAATGCTGGAATCACATGGAATGGGAACCAGGAACTCTCTACTATTCTAACACTTTGACTCCAGATGTTTACTATGTTTTAATAACAGTGATAAAGACCACATGCTAAACCAAGGATTTACTGTGTAACCTTTACTATGTAAAAAAAAATTAATTCAGAATAACCACATCAGCTTATATCACCAAGCTTACCGAAAATCTTCCAAGTGCCTCTGAATTTCTGGGTGGACTCTTTCTTGCATAGTTTGAATATAGTGGCGATGTAGATCCTCAGGAATTAGCTCGGGTCTTCTTTTTTCTGAAAAAAGAAATGGGTAAGAATTACTTGATCTAAAGGTATAATCTGTGCATTTTAACTGGCAACACATCAATGCTATGTGGTGCAAACTTATCTTGGAGTAAGACAAAGAGAGCTTCTTCAATTCAACTTGTGTATCCCATCTCTCATTCAGATTTCATTCACCCTTAAATGTGGAGGCCTAGTTGCCACATGACACACAAAACCTTTAGAAATGAGCTGAACTACACAATTATTGAGATATAATTCTCCAGGATACTGGTGCTCCAAACTTACCTAAATCTACTGATATTTCATCAGGAACAGGAACTTTCAAGTGCTATAACAAAAATGAAATGAAAAAATGAGACAGCAGTAAGGAATTTGCAAGATATAGAGAAGTGTCTGTATAAAGTAAATTAGTAGAACTTAGACACCTATTTTACAAACATATTCATGTAAAAGTTCATTTACTGTGCTCCTCCCATCCAAATTTCACAGCTCTGGTAAGTTCTGCTGTTTAAACTTGAAAATAAGCCCTTTCCCAAGGATCATGCTATAAAGGAAATACCTGCAGTATTTACCAGATGACTAAGTGCTTCTGTGCCTTACTTACTTTCACTGGCCTCAGCCTTCTGGAATGAGTGAACATGGGCTTTGGCTTCCTAGAGTCACTGGTTAATCTACATTATTTGAATGTAGGTAAAAACTAAGTTATGTGTATATATTATCACATGAAAAACTTACTCATATATAACCCTACTATCTGTTGTACTTGAGACACTCCCACTACAGATCATGATGCTCCCAGTCACTTTCCTTAAAGAACCCTCACAATAGTCACACTCCCAATCAGAGTACTGGATGTCAATTCTGAGAATTTGGAGACTTAAATACCTAGTAACCATCTGTAGTACTTACACTATGAACTAATTATAGTACCTGTGTCATACTTTAGTTCTTTATAGCTAGGATTTTCCCCATAATAATTGCAGTTTCCGGTACCACTATCAGTTAACAGTGTTTTCCTTCCCATCAATTTGGGAAATGTCTTGAAATACATATATATTTTGCATTTACAAGAAATATCTTAACCTCTGTACACTTACTTTGTATTGTACACCTACTTAAGTCATATACTTCCAGAATTTAAACAATTCTTGTAAGATTTGAAGTTTTATATTTGAAAATAAGTCACTGCTAAAAATGATGAGATCTCTAACATTCATTTGAAGGGCAGGGAAGTGGATTTCAAAGCATTCTCTTTGACTGAAGCTGCCATGCTGTGGCTCAAATCAACCTTCCTGAAAGTATTTCTAGCACAGATGCAAAAAAGTAAATAAATGTTCATTTATGTATGTGGGTACTTGTGTGAAAAAAATATCACCTGTGGTTTAAAAATAATTATCAAATTAATCAAGGTTCTTACACTTCAATGTTAATAATCTTATATAGAATATAAATTATAAAGTTTTAATTATAAAGTTTATAAATATAAAATATATGAAATATAAAATATAAAGTTTTAACTTAGCATGGAGCTCTCTTTAAAAATGTGTGGGGTAGAAGAGGTCGCTGGGGGAAAATGGAGACATGTAATACTTTCAACAATAAAGATAAAAAAATAGTCTGTGATCATAAAAAAAAAGTGAAATTCAAATACACTTCAATATACTGTCATTTATTCACAGAAGCAAATTATCTTAATAAATATAATGTATAATATTTTAAACAATGGCAGTAAAATCAGAATCCTAACTAATTCATTCAAAAAGTATCTGAATGACCACTCTGTACCCCAATCTATGAATACTGGGGAAACAGCCGAGAACGCACAGAATACAAATGTCTGCCCTGATGCAGCTTACATTCTGGGCAGAGCAGGAACACAAGTAAACAAAATAAGTTAATAAGATGTAAGATCTATGGACAAAAATAACAGGCGTGATAACATAAAGTGAAGGATAGTGTTAAGTAGGCTGGTCAGAGCAGGCCTCAGTGAGAAGGTGATTATGTTCAGCAGTGTAGGCAACTTTGCAAAGGAATGCAAAGAAAATGGGAGCTGGAGAAAGAAGCGGAGCCACAATGTCTCTGTGCGTGTCTATTTGCTTCAGGATACGTTTGCATGCGAACGTAAACGACTCAACAGAAAACAAAAAACTAGTGATGCAGGAGAGAAGGGGCTGCAGTTAAAGTAGCATCTTTCAGTAAGTACAAAGAAACACAATGCACGTGATGATGTATCTGTAGAAGTGCACTTCCTTACACTATTTTAAATTTCTCAAAGAAAGAGCCAGGCCACGAGCTGAGAAAGGACTGGAAAAGAAGGTTGAAACAGTTATATAGAGAACTGCAAATGTGAAAGAACCAGGGACATGCAGAATGGCAATCCAGGAAGCATTAAGGGCTAATTCTTCTTTAAACTACAGCAAAACTAGTAACAAAACTCTTAATTTAAAAATGTATTAAGATTTCAATTTACTGTCATTTACGTGAATAAGATCTTTTCCACCACCTTTGAAACTTGTACCTACAAACTTCCAAGGGGCCAAAAGAGTTACTCTTTGGACCCTACCATGTAAATGCGCATCATCTGTGTTCTCTTCTTACTCCTTCATCCTGACCACACATGTACAACCCAAATATACATACACATCCCTCAACACCTGTGACGGTTTATATGCCTAAAACTAATCTAGAAATGATAAAAAAAACAGTCAATAGTAATCAATAAGTGACAGATGCCACAAAGCACAATAAAGTCCAAAAACACGGGAGGGAGCCCTGGCTGGTGTGGCTCAGTTGGTTGGAATGTTGTCCTGTACACCAAAAGGTGGCGGGTTCAATTTCTGGCCAGACCACATACCCAGGTTGTGGGTTCGACCCCAGGTCAGGGCATGTGCAGAAGGCAGCTAATCGATGTTTCTCTCACATCAATGTTTATCTCTCTTTCCCTTCCTCTCTCTGAAATCATAAATTATAAAAAATGTCAAAAACAAAACAAAATGTGGGAGGGAAAACTGGAAGTAGGAGCCCAATAATTCTATGTACTGGAACAAAGAGTTTAATATTAAGTTGGTAACTTACTGCAGATCGATCCAGGAAGAACTGATGAAACTCGAGGAAGACACGCCGAGTCTCCTTGGAATTGGTCTGTTTATAAAGGTCTGAGTAGAGATAACAGAGCTGTAGTAAAGAAGAAAAAGGAAACGATAAAGTGAGAAATCTTGAAAAATGTCAACATAAACAATGTAGCTACTAACATTCAACCAAGTGTTTAAAAAAATAACAACATTTTAAGTATCTTTCTAAACATCCTTATATGTTTAGAAAAACAGAAAGAAGTCTGTTTGCTTATTTTGCAGGAATGAAAAGTTTTATGGTTTATGAATCAATGTAAAAACTCTAAATTTGTTAAATCGTAAAATGTATTACCAATGTTGCAGGGTCAAACTGTGACACTACATGGTGTACAAAAACAGCCAAGTGAGCAGGGCGAGATTTTAGCAGTTCAATGCTCTGGAAGCAGCTGCACTGCCCATTGATCTAGAAAAAGAAACAATTATACATCAATAACTCCAACACAGATGCAAAATATAATGTAAGTTCAACTAAACCTAACTATTGAAATTTCACTTTGATCTACCCTAAAAAATTCAAGGTTTAAAAAACGTCACTAGAATTTATTAGCAACACAGACTATGGAATCTCTCCCTCTGAAATGAATAATTTCTTGGGGATAGGCTGGAAGTAAGACCATCTTGGGAGAATGCAAATTTAGAAGATGATTATAAAGGAGCTGAGATATCTACAAATCAGTATTAAAAAAACTGTCTAACAACAGTTCTAAAAATGTGGTAGAAGGCTCTTTGTCTAATAATGAAATAGCTGTGTTCCTTTTCTTTTGGGCTGATCACAGAAATGGTGGTAGAAAATGGAGTTGTATGATTTTAAGTAAGACACCACCTACAATGCATGTATATATTCCCTAACCTACACTGAAAACAGAATGCGGTAATAGTTAAAATTAAGGTAACTAGAATCACAGTTTTCATATAATTTTTCATATTTAAATAAAGTGAGACTTAATCTAAACAATACCAATTCTACACAATCTCTTCCAGAAAACACAAGAGGAGGTGATACTTCTTACTCATTCCAAGCAGCCAGCAATATCCAGCTATCAAAACAAAGAAATTACCAAAAAACCCCAAAACTACACACCAATATCCCCCATAAACACAGACACAATCCATACCTAAAAAGGACATTACATTATGACCAATTAGGGTTTATCCCCAGAATGTAAAGCTGGCTCAACATGCTAACATCAATCCATGTAATTTACCATATTAGGGACTAATACAATGATCTGACTCACTCAATAAAATTCAATATCCATTCATTATAAAAACTCTTAACTAGGAACAGAAGGAAATGTCCTTAACCTATAATAAATAATATCTATGAAAAACCTACAGCTAACTTTATTATACTTTATGGTGAAAGATTAACCTTTCTTCCTAAGATTAGTAATAAAGCAAAGATGCACTGTCTCACCACTCCAATTCAACCTCATGCTGGAAGTCTTAATTGGTGCAATGAAGATAATGACAAGAAATAAAAGATAAAAAGATTGGAAACAAAAAAATAAAAAATTGTCTCTATTCATAGACAATGGTTGTCTATGTAGAAAATTGCAAAAGTTATTTTCCAAAGCTCCCAGAAGTACTAAGGGCAAAAATCAAGCCAATGATATTCCTCTATACTATCAGTAAACAACTGGAATTTGAAATAAAATTTAAAAACCTTTACAATAACACCCCCTCCCCAAATGAAGTACTTAGGTATACTCATTGACTTCTTATCAGTTTTAAAAGGAAAGCCATTTCTATTGATTAAAAATAAAATAAGCCACTAACCCATGCAATTAACCAATTAATCTTAGTTCTAAGATTGAGCTTCAAATCCTTAAAAATATGTCAATCTCCAGAAAGTATTCATTTTTACTAAATCAAACATCTCAGAAAATTAATGGGTTTTTTAGAAAAAATATCATCACCTGCTCATGTTCAGTACCAAAATCATCATCCTCTGCTCCAATAATATGAGGTGCTACACGGGTCGAGGGACTCATGGTAAGTGACTGAGTGTCCTGGTAATATTCAGAGAGAAGAAACAGAAAAATTATCTGGTTGTCAAATTCAGAGAAAGAATAAAGCCAAAGCAAAAGCCAAAAGACGTGGTTCACCAAACGTGGGACGTCTTCACTTATTATTTTATACATATCTAGACCTTGTTATAAAGAAAAATAGTTTCTATAAATTGTTAAGATTTTTAAAAGTTAGATTTTTGAGTGAAGACAACAGGACAAAGGAAAAATGAGAGTAGAAATGATAAGACAAAGTTAGGAGAAGTTAATACAAAGATTTATATTAATGTCACATACTGAAAGCTGTCAGTAAACCCTATTTTTTCATTTTTAATTCTTTTCCCTAAGTACATAATGCTGGGTTTTTCAACCCTGGCACTGTTCATATTTTGGGCCAGATACCTCTTTGCTGTGGGAGCTGCCCTGGGCATTGTAAGGTATTTAGCAGCATCCTTGGCCTCTACATACCCACTAGATGCCAGAAACAGCCTCCCAGTAATGACACTCAAAAATGTTTCCAGACTTTACCAAATGTCCCCAGGGACAAAATCACTCCTGGCTGAAAATCACAGGCACAAGGCAAAATAAAATTTAAAGTAATCACATAAAACACTGCTACAGAAACAAAAATGACCAAATTACAAAAATAAATTACAATCTCACTCCATGCAATAGACTGACCATTTGTCAACTCTCACAGTAAAATGTAGCATGAAATAGGCAATGTAGAAGCATTAATGTATAATTTAAAAAATATGGAATTTTGAAAGACCACAAATACTAAATTCAAAGACCAGAGAGCATGAAGAAAAATAAAAATTTTGGAAGAAATAGAAAAGAATGAGTTTGGCTTACACCTGACAGCAGTTAGCACGGAAGATCTGCAGCTGAGCAAAGAGTAGGCTGTAATGACTTAGGAGTCAACTGCAATGTAATTATAACTGAAACTATGTAAATAGTCCAGCAAGCTATAAATTAAGTAAATAATATGTAGCTATAGTTCTTCCTCTTTAAGTGCTATCCTGACACTATGTATCTGCATCTCCTAAACTTGATTCTGCCTTTTTTACTACTTGATTTTTAAACCTCAAGGCGGTAATAATTTAAGAAAAAAATCAGGTGAAATAATAGAAATGTGTTTATAGTAGCAGCAGACAAATTTTGATTTCTCTGGTTTTTAAATTTGTAGCTAATAATCAATGTATCACAATATGACGTTGACTTTTACTATGAAACTTTATACAATTCAATTAAAATTAAAATCAAAATGCTAAAAGTATTTAGTTAATAATATACAAGATCCAGCATTTCCACTTCTGAGTATATACCCAAAAGAACTGAAAGAACTTGAACAGAAATTTGCACAGCCATGATCACAGTAGCATATTCACAACAGCCAAAAGGCAGAAACATCCCAAGTGCTCACTGACGAATGGATAAATAAAATGTGGTCTACGCACACGATGGATTCTGCTTGAAAAGGGCGGAAATTATGACACATGCTACAATATGGATGGACCTTGAAGACACTGTGCTAAGTATAGCAGGCTGGTCAACAAGAGGACAAATATGGTATGATGCCGCTTATATGAGGTTCCTAGGGTAGTCAAGGGCACTGAGACAGAAGGAGGAATGTTGGTTCCTGAGGCTGGAAGGCTGGTGTTTAATGAGGACTGAGTCTCAGCTGTGGGCAGATGAGAAGGCCCCAGAGATGAATGCTGTGACGGCTGCACAGTGTGAAGGTAACCTATGCCAATGAACTGTATACTTAAAAATAATTAAATGGTAAATTTGGTTATGGATATTGTACTACAATAAAAAAAGTTAAACCACCTAATAATACTAACTATGGAGTAGCCCTCCATTATCAAAAAAATGTATTAAATTCCTTTAAAGCTTAAGCTAATTCTCTCAAAAATAAACAAACAAACAAACAAACAAATAAATAAATACAAGCAGCAGGTGTGCCTGTCACTTTAAGCACAAGGAAAGCACTATGATCTATCAGATGTCGTACTCACAGTGTCCTGAATTACTTCATTTTTCTCTGGGTTTTCCTCGAGATAAGTCCTCTCTTTCAGGCCACTCCTAGGATTCTAATATAAAAGAAAAAAAAAAAAGATACTCAGTTCATTTCAACAAGCTCACCAAAAGGACAGGAAAAAAATGTGAAAAAATAATATTCTGACTTTCATGTATGTATCTGAAGGTACTAAATATCTTTCATATAATACCTTGCTCTGATAATTTTTTTCCCTGACTTTGGCAAATCAGCTATTCCCTCAGCTTTTTAGTTTAATATTGATAAAACAATACAGAACCGCCCTGGATGGTGTTTCTCAGTGGTGAGAGCGCTGGACCACACACCGAGGGGTTTCGGGTTTGATTCCAAGTCAAGGCACATACCTGGGTTGCACGTTAAATCCTGGCCTGTTCGGGGTGCATTTGGGAGGAAACCAATTGATATGTCTCTCTCACAGTGATGTTTCTCTCTCTCTCTCTTCCCCATACCCTCCCCCTCCTTTCTACTCTCTCTAAAATTCAATGGAAAAAATGCCTTTGGGTGATGATTAACAAAAAACACACAAAATAGAACCAACGCAATAGCTTTACTTCAACTCCAGGCCTGAGGGCATATTTCTATCAAATAACTTTAACTAGATGTATTACAAATCTCAAACTCATTATATCAAAATAAATATCTCTATCCACTTCCTCTAATCCTCTCTGTCCCAAGTAAAAAACATTGTAGACTATTTATATCAATGAAATTAAGCTTCTATTTTGCTGTTACTAGCTCATGTGAAACGGATACGTGGATTTTTATAAAATTTACATGGTGTGTTTGATGACCTTATGCAAAACACAATTTTGGGAGACAGGGAATACCCCAAAGAAATGGGAGCCACTCTTCAGAGCAATTGAAAATAAAGCACAAGAGACTTGTGTGTGACTGCCAGCAGGGAAGATACATGCTATCTGTACAAATACCAAAATACCACGAGGTGGAGAAAATGGTAAAACTACCCAATCTACTGGGGAGTCATATCAAAGAATACAGAAGACAATCTGAGGGGGCTCCACTGGCCAAAAAAAGAACAATTTAAGCATAAAAAAGTATAATGACTGTGATGGAACGAAACACACTAAGCCAGTATGTTAAAGTCTATGAACACAAAGTATCATGCACAAGAGTGAGTTTGCACATGCATCCCCACGCTGGAGCCTCTGGAGTTGTCAGGGCACCCACGCTTCTAAAACAGACGTGTGACGGAGAGGATCAAACAGGCACCCGAATTTCCTACAGAAGCAGTATTTTAGGGTAATCTAAAGACCATTAAGGGAAAACTATCCTTTATACAGTAATTCCATCTAGTATGTAAAGGAGAAATGACAAAACCATAATATTATCATTTTGAAAAAACTAATGAAATAATGGATGCAGGCATTTTCGCCATTAGGGGAAGGTAAAAACATGAGATAAAAGCTTAAGCAGAATCCCAGGCAAGATGAATCCAAAGAGGCCCACATCCAGACACACCATAATTAAAACGGCAAATGTTAAAGACAAAGAGAGAATCTTAAAGGCAGCAAGAGACAGAGAGTTACTTACAAACGGAGCTCCCATTAGACTGTCAGCTGATTTCTCAACAGAAACACTTCAGGCCAGAAGGGAGTGGCACAAAGCTTACAAAGTATAGAAAAGCAAGGATCTGAAACCAAGACTACTTTATCCAGCAAGGCTATCATTTAAAATAGATGGTGATAAAGAGCTTCCCAGACAAAAAAAGGCTAAAGGAGCTTATCACCACCAAACCATTAAAATGGCGCCCGGCAGGGAGTGGCTCAGTGGTTGAGCATCCACCTAGGATCCAGGCGATTGGGGTTCAATTCCCGGTCACAGCACATGCCTGGGTTTCGGGCTCAATCCCCAGTGGGGGCTGTGCAGGAGGCAGCCGATCAATGACTCTCTCATCCTTGAAGTTTCTATCTCTCTCTCTCCCTCTCCCTTTCTCTTGCTGAAATCAATAAAGATACATTAAAAAAAAAGAATTAAAATGGCAATAAATAAAGACCTATCAATAATAACCTTAAATGTAAACAGCTTAAATGTTCCAATCAAAGGACACAGGGTAGCTGAATGGATAAGAAAACATGATTCATATATATACTGTCTACAAGAGACCCACCTCAGCAAAAAAGACTCACACAGGATGACAGTGAAGGGATGTAAAAAAAATTTCCATGCAAATGGTAACGAAAAAAACACCCTGGGGTAGCAACACTCATATTAGACACAACAGACTTCAAAATGAAGACCATAACAAGAGGAAAGAAAGGTCACTACATAATACTAAAGAGATCAAGACAAGAGGATATAACGCTTGTAACCATATAGGTACCCAATATAGGAACACCTAAATATACCAAAACAACTTCTGGAGGACTTTAAGGAAGAGATTGACAGCAATACAGTCATACTAGGGGACTTTAACACCCCACTGACATCACTGGATAGATGTTTCAGACGAAAAAACCAACAAGGAATCAGTGACCCTAAATGACACACTACATCAGATGGATTTAACAGATGGATTTACAGAACATTTCACCCCAAAGCTGCAGAATATACATTCCTCTCAAGTGCACATGGGTCATTCTCAAAGATAGTCCACACGTTAGGACACAAAACAAGTCTCTACAAATTCAAGAAGACTGAAATCATATCACGCATCTTCTTGGATCACAATGGCATGAAGTTACATATGAACCACAATAAAAAGACTAAAAAACATTCAAACACACGGATGCTAAATAGCATGTTATTAAACAATGAATGGGTTATCAATGAGATCAAGGAAGAAATAAAAAACTTCCTGGAAACAAATGAAAATAAACACACAACAACCCAAAATCTATGGGGCACAATGAAAGCAGTCCTGAGAAGGAAGTTCATAATATTACAGGCCTGCCTCAAAAAGCAAGAAACCTTTTTAGTAAACTATCTAACCCTACAATTTAAAGACTTAGAAAGAGAACAGCAAGAAAAGCCCAGGGTAAGTAGAAGGAAAGAAATAATAAAGATCAGAGCATAAATACATGACACAGAGACTAAAAAAACAATACAAAAGATCAATGAAACCAAGAGCTGGTTCTTTAATAAGACTGATGAACCTTTGGCCAAATTCATCAAGAAACAAGGAGAGGGCCCAAATAAACAAAACCAGAGATGAAAGAGGTAAAATAACAACTGACCCAACAGAAATACAAAGGATTGTAAGAAAATACTATGAACAACTAACTATATGTCACCAAGCTAGAAACCTGGATGAAATGGACATATTCCTAGGAACATACAACCTTCCAAAACTCAATGAGGAAGAGTCAGAAAATTTGAATAGGCCGGTAACTGCTGATGAAGTTGAAACAATAATCAAAGGGCTCCAGGCACACAAATGCCCCGGATGGATGGCTTCACAGGGGAGTTTTACCAAACATTCAAAGAACTAACACCTACACTCCTCAAACTATTCCAAAAAACCCAGGAGGAAGGAACACTTTCAAGCCCTTTTAAGACACCAGCATTATCCTAATTCCAAAATCAGAAAAAGACACTACAAAGAAAGAGGATTACAGGCCCAAACCCCGGATGAACATAGATGCTAAAATCCTCAACAAAATGTTAGTAAATCGGGTCCAGCAATATATTAAAAAGATCATACACTATGACCAAGTGGGACTTATTCCAGGGATGCAAGGTTGGAAAATATTTGCAAATCAATAAATGTGATTCATCACATAAACAAAGTGAAAGACAAAAATCACATGATTGTATCAATAGACACAGAAAAAGCATTGGACAAAATCCAACGCCCATTTTTGATAGAAACTCTCAGCCAAGTGGGAATAGAAGGATCATACCTCAACATAATAAAGGCCACATATGACAAACCTACAGCCAACATCATACTTAATGGGCAAAAATTAAAACCATTTCTCCTGAGAACAGGAACAAAACAGGGATGTCCACCCACCACTCATTCAACATAGTACTGAAGTTCTAGCCACAGCAATCAGCCAAGAAGAAAAAATAAAAGGCACCCAAACTGGAAAGGAGGAAGTTATGTACATACACAACCCTAAAGGCTCCACCAAAAAACCTACTAGATTTAATAAATGAATTCAGCAAAGTAGCAGGATACAAAATCAACCACCAGAAATCCATGGCATTTTTATACACTAATAATGAATTCTCAGACACAGGGGTGCATATATTCTATCTGATTAGTGTTTCAGGATTCTTAGGATATATTCCCAGAAGTGGGATCACTGGGTCAAAAGGCAACTCCATTTTTAATTTTTTGAGGAAACTCCACACTGTTTTCTGTAGTGGTTGTACCAGTCTGCATTCCCACTAGCAGTGTACTAGGGCTCCCTTTTCTCCACAGCCTCGCCAGCACTTGCTGTTTGTTGATATATTGATAGTAGCCATTCTGACAGGTGTGAAGTGACACCTCACTGTGGTTTTAATTTGCATCTCTGACGATTAGCAACATGAGCTTTTTCTCACGTCTCTTGGCCGTCTGTATGTCTTCTTTGGAGAAGTGTCTATTCAGGCCCTTTGCCCATTTTTTAACTGAATTGACTGTATTCCTGGTGTTGAGTTGTATGAGTTCTTTATATACTTTGGATATTAACCCTTTATCAGATGCATCGTTGGCAAATATGTTCTCCCACACAGTGGGTTCTTTTTTCACTTAGTTGATGGTTTCTTTGCTGTGCAGGATCTTTTTAGCTTGATGCAGTCCCATTTGTTTATTTTTCCTGGGTTTCCCTTGCCTTCAGAATCCTATTGGCAAATATGTTGCTAAGAAAGATGTCTGAAATTTTACTGCCTATGTTTTCTTCTAAGATTTTTATGGTTTTGTGACTTACATTTAAGTCTTTTATCCATTTCAAGTTTATTCCTGTGTGTGGTGAAAGTTGGTGGTTTGGTTTCCCTTTTTTTGCACGCATCTGACCAATTTTCCCAACACCATTTATTGAAGAGATCGTCTTTACTCCAGTATATGTTCTTGCCTACTTTCTCAAATAT